CTTTAGAGTTTAGATTTAAAATAAATATTGTGGGGGCGCCTGCCTGGGTGGCTCAGTTAAACGTCTGACATAGGCTCAGGTCATGATCTCACGGTTCTTGAGTTTGAGCCCCGCATCAGGCTCTGTGCTGACAGCACGGAGCCTGCTTCGGATTCTGTCCCCTTCTCTCTATGCCCCTCCTGCACTCGTTCTCTCCCTCTCTTTCTCTCTCTCTCTCTCAAAATGAATAAACTTAAAAGAAATAAATATCATGAAGATATTTTTCTCAAAAATTAGGATTTCTCTCTGATCTTACTTATATACGAATAAATATCAATAACCTAAGATCCAACAAAGCATTTATTCATCAAATATTTTTCAAAGCTTATTGTGAGACAGTAAAAAGCTTCATAAAGAAATGTTGCTTTTTAAAAAAATCTTTCAAAGTCCCACAAACTACTGAATGGTTAGTCTAATTCTAAGATTTGATTCTAAGCATAAAAGATATAATTCCAAATAGAAAATACAAAGAACAATTTTGCTTAGAGTAACTGAGGTATATATTCTGCATTTTTCTCTTTTGAGGCAAACACAATTGAGTTTCTTCTCCTTTGGCTTAAGTGCCAGGTCTGACATTCAATTATTTTTGCAGACCTAACGGTTGGTTTCAAAATCTCCCATATTGTGTTCTTCGGAACACTAGACCAATTAAGTGTTCTATAAAGGTAGGAGGGGGCCTTCGAAAAGCAAACACATTTAAGAAACACTCCACTACCCAAAGCCTTTAAAAATTCAACATACACATTAGCATATGAAAAGCCTTGAACAAGTCACAAACTCTCTGTTCAAATAACATCTATTAATTTTTTAGAGCCAGTGTTCCCCAGATCACGTCTGGAAAATCTTGGTTTCCTAATCATTAACTTGGAGCTTCTAACTTTTTTTTTTTGTGACATTCAAAAATAAGACGACGTATATGTCACTATGAGTTTTTTTTGGTTGGCTGTGAGTGTTTCGCCTGTATTTTTAAAGAAAATTAAATTTGTAAATGCATACGACTTGCCTTATGTTCCTAATGTAGTACAGAGTGACTTGGGGGGTCCTTCTCCAAGCCCAAGGAACAGGCAGGCAGGAACAAGCTCTCTCTGGAGTCACAACTGGCAGCCACAAATGCCTCCTAGGCAGGTATTATAAATAACAAATACCTCAGAAATCAGGCCTCCAGAAAAGGAGGAGGTACAGAAAACTTCAAAGGCAGAAGGCATTAGAAGATTTAGGGATATCTTTTAAGATCATTTAGGGTTATCTAATCCCTCATTTCATACTTAAGGAAGTTAAGGCCCAGGGACAGGGCTGGGATTCAAGACCAAAGCCTTCCAACTCAAGGCCTCAGGCTTTTCCTCAAGGTCATGCTGCCTCCCAGGCCTCATGGAGCAGAAGATCTGTGGGTCTGTGTAAACTGAAAAAAGACAGCATTGGTGGCTACTAAGGAACAGCTATAAATTAAAGAATAAAGAGCATAATCACACATCAGCTTCAGCCTTAAAGAAAATTAAGAAAAAGTTTATTGTTTTTCATTAGTGTAATTATTGTTGTGTAACAAAGCTCACTTCTTGATGGCATTTGAAAACATTTTTGCTTTTAGGTCAACTCACTTTACATTTAAGGTCACGTTGCTCATAGGTCCTAAATCTGAGCAACAGATGTTGGAGATAAAGCATGTAAGTAACTCAAGGCAAACAGGTGATTACAGTGTAGGAATCATTCAACTTCCAAAAATTTCCCTCAGCTTTCATTTGTTTCCCTATTCATAACACACTTGGTCAGCTGTTAATTCACACACTCAGACATTGGAGATTGTGTTTCAAAGTTAAGGTGTTTTGCCTCTCAATTTTGTCATGCCAGCCAATCACTTCCTAATCATTCCCAGAGTTCACAAATCTTACAGAGGTGGTAAAGCCTATGAATAGTGTTTGTTCCTTTCCTCAAGCAAACCCATCGTTTCCTCCCTGGTAATTATTTTTCTGGGCTCAAATCTTAAATTTCCTACATCTACTGTGTACATTAACAACCGTAAAGGAATAAAGAAAAAACACATCTGTATATTGTAGTATTGTGTTTTCTTTTTTAGATAAATAGAGTACATTAGATAATGTAGCTCCTAAATATTTTAAAAATGCAAATATACAAACTTGTGCAAGAAACACAGCTAACCCTCATCTTTTGGGTTTTTTCCCATCCAAACTCCTACAAACAAGAGTCAAAAGAATACAGGCAAAAGAACGAAGATAAATTTGTTCAGGCTTACTTAAAACACGTGCAAAAAACCACTCCCACCCCCTTGTACTAAAAAAAAAAAAAAAAGATTAATAAAAACAAATTAAGTCACTATAGTTTTTACAACATCTTGAGATAGGGAAAATCTGACGCAGTAATTTTTTTCATTATCTACGAGATTAAAATTTGACTTTAACACTAGACACTCTGAGCCAGGAAAAAATGGGAATTGTTTCTTCCGTTTCTTCTCACTCTTTTAAAGCAAAGTTTCTTAAAGTATCCTGTTGGTTTTTTTTTTTTTTTTAATCTCTAACAATCCAGGGGATCAACTTGACACATTAAAATTTTAATTCAAGGAGAAAGAGCACCATTGAAACATTTTGTAACTATATGCAGTTACTTGGCTCATGTATTTTTATGCCAAATTCTTGACTTGAACTAATTTTTTTCAGTGGTGGCTTCTGGGGGAGGCTTGTTTTTTGGATATGTGTTTGTTTTGAGAGGAGGGAAGAGGGAGTTAAGAAAATTCAGAGTTAATTAAGTATTGAAGTTGGATATAATTACTCACAATCAAAATTGAGTCTCTGGAATCTACCCCCCTGCAACCGGAGTGTAGCGGGTCTCCACTAAAGCTAAAGTCTAAATGGCTAAGTGGAGAAATTCATCAAGTGAGAAAGTCACAGAGTAGTAAATCAAGTGTTATCTCTCAGTGATCCCTTCACGTTCCCCAAAGCATAATCAGTGTCATTCTTTGCACTTAAGTGTAACAGTTTCTCTTGTTTGTTTTTGCTTAATGGATTTGAAAGACAGAATCCTTCCCATTTGGAATCTGATACATGTAGAGATTATTTTACAGTACCTTTTGTTCTTCTGTGAATTCAGAATTATTGTGTTGAGCTTGGGCCTCTTTTTGTAGATGTCTTGCTAATCTGTAAGAAGAAAAATAAATATTCTTTAGAATTGAAGGAAAGCAAACAATCTCAAGTGTAACAAGGTGCAATAATTTAAATCTTTTAAAAAACAGACAATGGGGGGGGGGCATCTGGGTGGTTCAGTTGGTTAAGCGTCCAACTTCAGCTAAGGTCATGATCTTGTGGTTCATGAGTTTGAGCCCTGTGTCGGACTCTATGCTGACAGTTCAGAGCGTGGAGCCTGCTTCAGATTCTGTGTCTTCCTCTCTCTCTGCCCCTCCCCCACTCACCCTATGTGTGTGTGTGTGTGTGTGTGTGTGTGTGTGTGTGTGTGTGTGTGTGTCCCCGTCTGTCTCAAAAACAAATAAACATTAAAAGTAAATTTAAAAAAATAAAAAATAAAAACAGACAATGGGGGCGCTTGGGTAGCTCAGTCAGGTAAGCATCTGACTTCTGCTCAGGTCCTGACCTCGTGGTTTGTGAGTTCAAGCCTGCTCTCTGCTCTCAGCACAGGGCCAGCTTCAGATCCTCTATCCGCCCCCCTGTCTCTCTGCATCTTCCCCGCCCTTGCACTGTCTCTCTTACAAATATTTTTTAAAAACAATGAAGTAGTGCTGAGATTAGTCAAACAGCCATGACAAAATGATAGCAGCCTATTAAATACTTTTCAAAACATTTTTCACGAAAAAGAAAATCCTCCACCAATCAGACATGAAAATCACTGTTTGCCCAATTATTGTTCTTAAAAACAGCAGTTGAGCCAAGGACGGACGTGTGTGACTAGGTCCAAATTCGCCAGTAAGGACCCCAAGCTCTTTCTGAGGCCACAAAAGCTAAATGACTGGTTCTTACAGCCACACAATAAAAAGACAAATAGCTCAATTTAAAAATGGGAAAAGGATTTGGACATTTTCCCAAAAAAGATGTAAAACTGGTCAATAAGCCAATAAATATCGTATCAGTCATTAGGGAAATACAAATCAAAAGCACAATACGATACCACCTCACACCCACTAGGATGGGTATAGTTTCTAAAAAGAGAAAAAAAAAATAACGCTGTTGGCAAGGACATGGAAATTTTGGAACCTTCATGCAGTGCTGGTAGGAATGTAAAATGATGCAGTCACTGTGGAAAACAGTTTGGCAGTCCCTCAAAAGTTAAACATAGAGTTACCATACATAACCCAGCAATCTCAAAATTCTAGGTATAGTCCAAGAACTGAAAACATGCTCCCACAAAAAGACCTGTACATGAATGTTCGCAGCAACAACATTATGCACGACAGCCCAAACTGGAAATACCCAAGGTGTCCATCAACTGCAGAATGGATAAACAAAATGTGGTGCATCCTTTCAATGAAATAGGATTTGATCACAAAGAGGAACGAAGACTGCTGCTACAAGCTACAGCATGAACCTCAAAAACATCATGTGAAATGAAAGATGCCAGATACAAAAAAAATCACCTGATCATTTACACAAAATGTCCAGAATGGATAAATCCATAGAGACAGAAAGCACATTTGTGGTTGACAGGGGCTGGGTAAGGAGGGAATTGGGAGTGACTGACATCAGATATGGGGTTTGAAATATTCTGAAATGAGATTGTGGTGATGGTTGCAGAACACTGTGAATATACTAGAACCACCAAATTGTACAACTTTACAGTGGGAAATTTTTTTTTTAATTTTAAAAATGTTTTATTTATATTTGAGACAGAGACACAGCATGAGCAGGGGAGGGGCAGAGACAGAGGGAGACACAGAATCTGAAGCAGGCTCCAGGCTATGAGCTGTCAGCGGGGCTCAAACTCATGGACTGAGATCATGACCTGAGCCGAAGTCGGACACTTAACTGACTGAGCCACCCAGGTGCCCCATTTCTTAATTTTTTTTAATGCTTATTTATTTTGAGAGACAGACAGAGCATGAGTAGGGGAGGGGCAGAGAGAGAGGGAGACACAGAATCTGAAGCAGGCTCCGGGCTCTGAGATGTCAGCACAGAGCCCAACACGGGGCTTGAACGCACGAACTGCGAGATCATGACCTGAGCCAAAGTTGAACGCTGAACCGACTGAGCTACCCAGGTGCCCCTACAATGGGAAATTTTATGTTATGTGATATTTATCTCAATTTTTAAAAATCTGTGGGGGGGAAATGACCATCGAAAGGATTCTTTGGTGAAACATTCTGTCACCGGCAAAAGAAATTAAAACCATAATTCTCAAGCATACTATACTGTTCTAGGTGGGGGGTGGAAGCAGGAATGCAAAGGGTAGCAAGTGTTTGATTTCCTACCAAACCAACTGCAAAAGACAGTTCAATGAATTTCAAAAAAAAGTCTTAGATGAGAGTTTTATTCTATGCAATCACACATGTCCTTAAAGACCAGGTGTAAAGTCCATTATATTTGATGGCCTCTCTCCAATCGACGAAAGGTATGCATCTTCCTTATTATAATGTATGAAACTCCTACATAAAATTATTGACATTTGCCAAGAATCACTCCACTATTTTACTTAATCAAACTGTTTCCATCCATTTATTTATTTTACCTCAAAGGTGGAAACCCATAATATTTTCCTATGATGTCATTCACAGACCCACTCTTTGTGGATTCTATACAAGAGAAGGTACAAATAGGAGTAGCCATTGCCATTATCCTTGTCCTTGTTCTGCACTTAGTTTCTAACTCTTGCTGGACTACCCCTTATATGAAGTTCTCTTTCAGGACTCACAGTCTACATTTAACAATGTCAATTGCCTCAGGGAAGTTCTAGTGTGGCACAGTTTCTTTATTTGAACAGTGCTCACATAATACGCTAATAGTGACTGTTAACCTAAGCATGGTCGTTATCAGAAAGAAAGGGGGTAGCTCTCAACTCCTGCTCAAATGTTAATAGTCAGTGGACAAGGATGTTAAATTCAAACAGAACCTTGCTTTTCAAAATTAGGCAACAGACTGGGAGGAAATATTTGCAAATCATATGTCTGATAAAGAACCTATATCCAGAATACACAAAGAACGGTCATAAACTCAATAGGTAGGGGTGCCTGGGTGGCTCAGTCAGTTGACTCTTGATTTTGGCTCAGGTCCCTCTCTCACGGTTCACGAAAGGCAAACTAACCACAGTGAAGTATGCTATCCGTCTACTAGAATGGCTATCATAGAAAAGACAGGCAATAACAAATGCCATCAATGTGGGGAAACAGTAACTCCGATACACCGCGGGTAGAAATGTAAAATTGTACAGTCAGTCTGGACAATACAGCAGTTTCCTTCACAAAGTATAGGTAAACTTCTATTACCCAGAAATCCTACTCTTTGGAATGAAAATGTATGTGCACATGAAGAGTTACCTGTAAACGTTCACAACGGCGTTACTGATAATAGTCAAAAAGTAGAAACAACTCAAATGTCCTTTAACTAGTGAACGGATACACAACGGTGGTATCCATACGATGTGATGCTATTCGGCAGTAAAAGGAACAAAGTGCTGACACGTGCCGCAACGGGATGAACCTCAAAGACGCTATGCTGAGCGAAAGAAGCCACATACCAAAGATCACACTTTGTATGATTCCGTTTCCATGAAGTGTCCAGAAAAGACAAATCTTTACTATAGATTACAGGTTGCCTGAGGCTGGAACGAGAATATGGAGCGACTGTCAATGGACACAAAGGATCTTTGTTGGGTGATGGAAACGTTATGAAATTTAATTGTAGTGATGGTTGTACAACGTGGTATAAAATCGCTAAAAATTCACTGGACTGTATGTGTAAAATGCATGGATTTCATGGTATAAATATTATACTCTTTTTAAAAACTTTTTAAAGGGGCGCCTGGGTGGCGCAGTCGGTTAAGCGTCCGACTTCAGCCAGGTCACGACCATGGTCCGGCCACACAGCCCAAGGCCAGCTCTGGGCTGATGGCTCGAGCCTGGAGCCTGCTCTCCCATTCTGTGTCTCCTCTGCCCCCTCCCCCCGCTTCATGCTCTGTCTCTCTCTGTCCCAAAAATAAATAAAAAATGTTGAAAAAAATTTAAAAACTTTTTAAAGACCTGGATAAAAATTTAACTTTCTGAATCCATAAATGATTGCACTATTTGAAGACAGCGGGAGATGATTCTGCCTACTGAGGAAAACTAATATGCTTTAGATATCAGATGAGCAGCTAAGACAGTTGACGTTCTATTAGGAAAGGTGAGAAACCTCTCAAATATTCTTCTCTCCGGAATAATCTCATCCTACAAGGATGACTGTAGGGGAAAAAAAAAAAAAAAACAAAACCAGACCACTAAAGTTCATGCGTGGATAAATATAAACACATAAGCAACTGAAAGAAATCCCACAACGATCTATGACAAATTAGTGCTTCTCAAACTATCTGTAGTGAAGAACTGGTTTCTTTCCCCATTTTGCTCTAAGTTAACACTTTAACAAAATATAATAAAAACTACCATGAAGATGTCAAATTGCTAGTTTCTAAATCCTTTTTTAAGAGACAGAGGGGGGGGCGGGCGGGGAGTGCAGGGAGAGAGTGAATCCCAATCAGGCTCCACACTGTCAGCATGAAGCCGGGATGGGGTTTCAACTCATGACCAAGAGATCAATGCACCTGACAAAACCACAAGAGTCGGACGCTTAACCAACTGAGCCACCCAAGCATCCCTAAAGTTTCCAAATCTTCAATTTCAATTCCTTGATCTCCTTACCGTAGACCAGCACCGCCATCTGCGGACCCACTTTGAGCAGCAGTGATGTAAGGCATAGTAAAGATGATTAACACCAGGCATTATTCAGTCTTCAAACTCATTCATTTAACAAGTATTTATTGAGCAACACGTGCTAGATTAATACCTCAGCACTGATCCTGTGGAATATCTGATTCTGAGCAACAGAGTCCTTATCATTCCATCATAAGTGAGGGGGCCACTGTATCCCCAGATTGCTGAAAGAGCTGGCTGGCCTGCTTCATGAATTACTCTTAATTGGCCATGTATATTTTGGCTAGCAATTCTAGTTTTGACATAATTCGTGTAAATCTTCCAACAATACTTTAATATCAACTCGGTGCTCCCACAGCATACTTCTGAACCCATTCATTAAAAGAATACAATATAGAATATCCAAATAAACAGTGATTTAATAATAACCTCACATCACTAGGACACTAAGTGTAAAGCAGAAAACAAGACAACTCCTCTAACCCTGCCCTCCCAGAGTTTACGCTCAAGAAGGGAGAGAGATAATAAACAATCAATACGTAAAATACACTGTATTTAGATGGTGATACACACTACGGAAAAAAGTAAACAGGGTGTGTGGGGGGGGCGGTCATGATGTGGGAGGCTGAGGTGGAGGGTGTGGGGGTAGGCAACAGGCTTTGCAGTTAGAAACAGGGTAGCCAGACAGGTCCTCATTGAGAAGATAATATCTGAACAAAGACCTGAAGGAGGTGACCATGCAACCCAAGCAGATAATGAAAGAAGAATGTTCCAGAAAAAGTACAAACAGCCCTAAGGCAGAAGCATGCTTCTGGAAACAGCAAGCAGTATGTAGCAGCACATACTCTTTTCATACTTCTGTAACAGCAACACCCAATCACTCTAAAATGCTCCATTAGACTCTCAGTGGTTTGAGGGTGGGAATCAAATCGTATTCATTTTTGTATCTCCAGCTCTCACTTGTTGAGTGATGAAATTGTTTAAGCTACTGTATTCTTACACTGTGATGGTACAGACATGTTTATTCCCTCCCTAAATATCCCTCCTCCCATAAATTTCACTGTGTTCCATGACTATAAAGTCCTTGCTGCCTACCGAATTAGAAATGCCAGTTATCCTAGACTCTTCCTTCTTCACTCTCAACATGCTGTCCATTCTTTTTTACATGATTTAGGGACCCCCAAATGGTCTCCTTCTCTGCAACCTTTCCTCCCAAACAGATAACTGAAATAAAAAAGACAATTTGCCTTCACTTTTGAATATCCTAATTTTCAATCCAACCTCATTTTACATGTAGCCTGAATGTTTACAAAATTTAAGGCAATCATTACTCCTCCGATTTGACGCTAGCAGTTTCTATCACTTGAGAACTCCTCTGAATCATTACGTTCAAAGGTTAGTATTGAGGTCCAACAATAGATTTCTATGTGGCTATCACTCTCATGGAGAGGTTTCTAGAAATTCCAGCTTAACAGCTTGCATACTCAATTTTCCTTTGTGATTTCAATTGGACATGGTATTCTTCACTTCCCATTGTGAAGTCTGCCGCTGAGTCCCAGCACCGCACAAGCCAAGGCAGCTTTACATTTCAGGGCTTGTGATTTCCGCTAACACGCAGAATGAGCATGCACAGGTGCTCGCTAACTGGCCATAGTAAGGTAAAGCTATGAGCTCTGGGAACCCAGTTCACTTACACAAGGCATCTTAAAGTGTCTTAAGCACCACGTAATAGAGCACCCAGGATTTAGTAAAACAACAACAACAACACACCAAAAAACCCCAAAAACCAAAACAACCGAAAACAAACAACCCGGCTTTCAGTGGTATAGTTTTATGACCCCCCGTTAATCTGTTTAACCTGAGAGCTTCAGTTTCCTGGTTTTGTAAAACGAGAGTAATGTTCTCACTAAGTAGTTGCAAGAGCAAGTGAAGTCAAGTGAAGATGCAAAACAAGCGCCAGCGTTGGGGGCACAGGGCTAAACGGCCCAGAGCAGGTTGTTTTCAGGGCTTTTGGAAACTACAAGTCTGTAGGACGGCGTGGAAAACATCTGCACATTTAAATTATCTTAACGGTCAGGTAAAAACAAGTTAAGTATTGTAGAGAAAGGAAAAAGAATTTAAAGCTTCCCAGTCTCAATTGTATATCCTTTCCAGAAGACACGTGGGGACGGGGATTTTACTCACACAAGGTTTCGTCCTCGGTTATACCTCAAACAATAACTTGCTTTTGACCAAAGAGTTAATTTAATGGCAACGGCTTGCAAACAATACCATTTTGGCAAGCAGTTCTTATTTTCAGTAAAAGGTGCAAGAAATAAGCAAGATTTTATGTACACGTAAATCTTGTCTTTTAGTTTAAAAAAACACCCCCGAAGTTTTTTTGGGGGGTGGGGGGGCAAAAAAAGAAAGAAATCGGACTTCGGGTCAAAGATCAAAGAGACTGGTACTCACAAAGTACCCAGCGGCTATACATTAGACACAGGACAAGGAGGAGGGACCCGAAGAGGGAGCGGTGGCTCCCGTGCGGGGTCCATTAATTCAGTTTGCTCTCTTCTGTTCACATCCTGCGCGGACTCCACCCAAAGCGACCGAGCGAGGGGGTGGGTGGGACTCACACAGCCCAGCAAATAACAGCTCCAGAAACCGAAACGGAATCGAGGTGAATTGTGAAAACACGGCTCACCAGCAAGAGGGGTGGAGAAGGGGTGCTTAAGGGGACCCTTGGCTGGTGAGGCACCCCTGTCCTCGCTGCTTCCTGGGGGCACCCCCTCCCCTCAATCGCCACCAGTTCCCTCCTCTTGTCCTACACATGGGAGGAGGAAGGCACCGCACAGAGCAAGGCCACTCATCCCTGGAACGTGGGCGGAGAACACACAAGTCTCCCTGAGCGATTCTAAAAGAGAAATTGAGGGGCAGCAACCTGAGAGAGGCGGGGGAAAGGAGGAAAGGAAACCGACTGCGGGGCGGGGGACGGGCACTAAAAGACGTAGCCTGCTAGGGCGGGCGCCCCAGGAAAGAGGGGCTACCTGTTGAATGGAACCGGCCCCGCGGCGGCGGAGGGGGAGAGGGGCGAGGAAGCCCAGCGAGCGGACCGCCGGCTCCGGGGCAGCCCGCCGGGGCCAGTGCGATCCCAGCCCCAGTGCCTGCGGGGCCCCACCCTGGGAAGCCTTGGCTGCAGATACAGAGATGAGAGACACCGACAGAAGAAAGGGGGAGGCGGCCGACTGGAGCCGGGCTGGCCCGCTCCTGCGGTTAGTCACTCACATCTGATACTCGTCTATCGCCTCCACCAGCTGGCCCCAAGAGTCGAAGTCGGCGCCTCTCCTAAAACTGGCGCCCCAGCGCTGCAGCAGACTCCGGGTCACCTCCGACATGGCCGGTGCCCACCCCGTCCCCTCCCGCCCCTACCCCAGCGAGGCCGGGCTCTAGGGCGCCATCCTCCCCGGGCCTGGCCCCGACATTAACAGGGCCAGGAGGAACCGCTACGGCCACCACCGCCACCCGCCGAGGAGCCGCCCAAGCCCATTTGCCGCCACAGCCAAACTTTGCGGCTCCGAAGCGGCCGCCCCGCCGAGGCTCCGCCCCCGAGGCCCCGCCCCGCGTTAGGTTGAGGCCGCCCCGCTCCCCCGAGGGCCGCCATCGCTATTGCGGCCTTCTTCCTCGGGTTTCGAGGCCCGGCCGCCTCCTCTCTTCCTCTCGGGAGAAGAGAACTGCAACTCATGAGGAAAGAGTGGGGAAGAGAAGCTAGGACGGGGCTGAGAAACGGAGAGCTCTGAGGGGGCCGCGACACGCGGCGCCTCCGCCCCTAAGCGGCGAGCACTGCCGCCTCGGTAGCTGTCATGGCGGCCCGGGCCACGTGACTCCGGCTCTGCGCAGGCCTGGTTCGGCAGCCTCAGCTCCCCGCCTTCCTCTGTCTCGTTTTCGGACTCGGACATTGCCATTCTTCCATCAGGAGGATTGCTGCACAGACTCCCGACAAATCCAGTAAGTTTGTCATGAGAATGGGCGTTTCCCAGAAATACCCCTACCCCTGGCGTTAACCTGGAGTCCCAAGCGATAGGGTCACCTCCCCGCCCTTTATACGCGTTTTGCAGTCTCCATAGACTCCCGGATAGGGATCTAAAAAAGTCTTCTACTGCCTTGAAACAACCGAAAGGGAGAAAATGAATGTTGGCTCTGCGAATCAATCGTATTCGTATTCGACAGTATCGCCGAATCCCTTTGCCAGCGTCTCCACTGGCAACCGAGGACCTTACACACTAAATGGGCGCTTGTTCCGCTGTGGTCCGCCCGCCTGTCCCGGGTGGAGAGCATCGGCTTTCCACAAAAATGCCTGTTCCGATGAGGGACTCCGAGGGTTGGCGCCTGCGCAAGGTCGCCGCTAGCCTCTACGGGACGGGCTGGGGAGGAAGAGGCTGGGTGGTAAACAGGAAGTGGGCGCTCCGAGCTCGGGGGCGGTGCTCAGGTAGGTTCCTCTGGGGGCCCGGGCCTCGCGAGTGGGGGTCCCCTTTCAGTGACCCAAGACGATGGAGGTGGCAGCGTCTAACCGGCCGTTGTGCTGGTGCCTCTGAGAGTACCCTTGCACCTGCGGGTGGGCGTGTCGCTGTGCTATCCACCCTCCGAGTTCCTGAAAACAGGAATGGCAGGTCTCCAAAGGGGCAAGATGGGGCCGGGCCGAGAATACAGTACTTACTCTTCGTTCCTGAAGTAAAGATACACAGAACTGCAGACATTTTCATCCAGGCAGTGGAAGGCCGCCTGAAAAGAGTATTAGACAAATTGTTGTCACAAAATCAAGTGTATTGTGTGCCTTTGCCTCTAGAAAGCTTGATTTACATGCACGTACATGCTGTATTCATTTACTTGTAAAGTTGGTATACGGGGCAATTATTTAGAGGGTTTTATATACATTTTTAAAGGAGCTCGTTAAATGTTTTGAGCAAGGGAACTTGCTCAGTTTTTCATTGAGCATACAATGCATTGAATATCTGGTTTTGTCGTGAATAGGTAAATATATTAAGGGAGGTGCTCAAGGAGGTATTTCATATACTGTTCAGCCCACGGAAATTTTTCCCTAGTAAGAAAAGTCAACCAACAACATTGTATAGTGTCTTTCAGTTAATTACACTTTATCAGAATTTCTTGTCTGTTGGTTCCGGTAATCTAATCGCCACATTTAAGTGTTCAGTTAGGCCTTCTGTATTTGCATTATCTACCCAAGGACTTTTAGGCTACTGATGTGCTGTTTTTTGTTTGTTTGTTCTTGGTTGGTTTTTTGTTTTGTTTTGTTTTGTTTTTTACCAAAAAGGAGTGGAACTTAATTTTTTTTTAATGTTTTTTTTTTTTTTTTTTTTTTTTTTTTATTTTTGAGAGAGAACAAGACAGAGCAGAGCATGAGCGGGGGAGGTGCAGAGAGTGAGAGGGAGACACAGAATCTGAAGCAGGCTCCAGGCTCTGAGCCATCAGCACAGAGCCCGATGTAGGGCTCCAACCCAGGAACAACGAGTTTATTCCCTAAGCTGATGTCAGATGCTTAACCGGCTGAGCCACCCAGGTGCCCTGGAACCTCATTTTTTTAAGCTGGCATTTTACTTAGGTAGTTTTTCAAATATTTTGGGTTTTATAGAATGGAAGTTATTGATCAAGTATTGTGGGTTTTTTTTTTTAACGAAAATACAGATGCTTATTAGCTATTTCACGGAAAGTGTATTTATCATAGAGACGTGCTGTAACTAATTAATTGGCATAAGCAGTACTGTGTTGGAAATAGTTCATTTAAAACCTATTTACTTTAAGTAACCCTAGCAGTCTAAATAAAAATAAAGGTCATTGTTTATACCTGTTTTGGAAATTACGGTCTCATCCTGTGACCTCCTTACTTGCAGCTATCCAACCACATTCCAGTACTTTGCTATTCAAAAGGGTGGTCTGGGGACCAGTAGCATTGGCATCTCAGGTCCTACCCTAGACTGTTGAATTAGAATCAACATTTTAACAAGACCCACCTTCTCCCCATGCTAAGGTGACTTTTATAAAGCACATTAAAATTTAAACATTACTGCTCCAGTATATTTAACATTGGTCGTTAACTGTGGACAAATTTCCAAGTGCTAAGTTTTTACAGGCCTGATCTAAACATAGACTACAATAAATAGGGGGCGCCTGGGTGGCTCAGTTGATTGAGTGTCCCACTCTTGATTTTGGCTCAGGATCCCAGGGTCGTGGGATCGAGCCCCGCATTGGGCTCCATGCTAAGCCTGAAGCCTGCTTAAGATTCTCTCCCACTCCCCCCACTTGCATGCAGTCTCTCTCTCTAAAATATAGAGTACAATAAATAGACATTACAACAAGATTCACTCATGTCAATAAAGCATTTTATTTATATATGCGTATGCTTCATATATATATACTTAAAAATATATATATATATGTTTTTAGTAAACCTTTATTTTTATACTGTTTACGTTATTAAATGTTTTATGTTTAATTTTTATACACTTCCTTTTTTGTTTATAGGAAACATCTGGAGAAAATGACACATTGGTTTCATAGGAACCCATTAAAAGCCACAGCTCCTGTCGCTTTTAACTACTATGGTGTAGCTGCTGGCCCTCCTGCTTCAAAAATATGCAGGTTAGTTTTAATCTCAATAACTACTGATTGAGCCACTTTTGGATACAAGGTACTTTTTTAGGTTCTGTATTGAATGGGCAATACAGAAATATGTAATACATTGTCCCTGTCTTTAGACGACTTCTAAACTTATAAACGATGTGTGAAGACTTAAATCACAGATTATTTAAACTTTGGCAGTCATCTAAGCTGCAGTCCGTAATTTTAGATCAGTGAGTCCCAGAGAGGCTAAACCAATCACAATGAAGGAGTTAAGCTACATGTTACAGAAGTACAAGAGACTCCACAAAGTTGTATGTAGATGTTAATTAGCCAGTAGTAGATTAATTAGCTACTGGTTAATTAGCTATCTGGTTAATTAGCCAGATAGTAGATTCATGGAGTTCTGATCAGGGAGAGATCCTGATGACCTAGAATGGGCTTTAGGGTGTTCATATAGGAGAAAGGGCTTGAGTTGGGGTTTAAATAAATCAGATGCCAGTTCATGGGTTGGCAAACTGTCCTGCAGGTTTGTCCACTGCCTGTTTTATAAATAAAGTTTTATTGGAACAGAGCCATGTCCCCTCACCCCATTTATTTACATATTACTCTGGCTGCATTTGGCTGCTTTCCTCTACAACAGCAGAGTGGTAATATCAGCAGAGACTTTATGACCCACAAAACATTATAGAAAAGGTTTGCTGATACTTGATTTAGATTGTGAGAAGGGACAAGAGAAAAGCATTTCTGTCAGGAACACTTTTATTCTAGGGATAGTGAGTAGAGCAGTTTGGAACAAAAGAAAGAGATGCAAAAGATACGTCAAAGGAGGAGTAAACTGGCCAGGTATCTGATTTGCTCTGGGAAGTTGAAAAGGATTCTGTCTGTATGAAACACAGAACCTAGACGATCAAGACCTTGATGGCACCAGTAATGGAAAGTTGAGAGTGTTGCTGCTTTTTCTGGAAAGTAATTGGAGCACAAGGTGGGAAAACTGGCTTATTAATCTAGATCAGAGGTCATCAAACTTTTTCTGTCAAGAGCTAAATAGTAAACATTTTAGGTTTTGTGAGGTCATGTATAGCTGCTGTTGCATATTCTTTTTAAAATCTTTTTGTTTTTTATTTTTTTTCTTAAGTAACCTCTCCATCCAACGTGGGGCTCAAACTCGTGACCCCGAGATCAAGAATCGCATACTCTACCAGCTGAGCCAGCCAGGCTCCCCTGTTGCATATTCTTTGTTGATTTTTGCAAACACAAGTGGTGGGCCGTACAGAAACGAGTTAGAGGCTGTAGTTTGCCAACCCCTGATCCTAGACTCCCAGAGGCTGGTCCCAGCTTACCTGTTTTACCTGTAGCATGAGTCTCTTAACTTCTTTGGGTCTAATTATTCATCTGTAAAATGAACAGCCTAAATTAGATGTTTATAAGGTACATTTTTCTGAAATTCTATAATTTTAAAGTGAACGTAACTTTACTCAGCTGGGTTGCAAATGATGATTGAGTGCCTGCTTGGAAATAGCTAGCAAACTATTTGAGTCTAGGCCTTAAGAATTCTTTTTCCCCCCTAGTCTGGGAATTACTCCTGCCTAGCTTCTAGTTAAATAACTCAACAATGACACATTAGTAAGGTAGACCATCCCATCTCTCGTTAGTTGTATATAGTTGTTGGTATATGCCTTCTTGGAATAAGCCTTCATGGAGCTGATACCAAAGAGTAAACATTCCATCTAGACCATTTAAGATCAAGTCTGCACTGTCCTCTAAAAATCACTGCTACATCATACCTCTTGTAAATCTTAAAATATTTTAAATGTTAGTATTCTTTCACTCAACAAAGAACCTTGAGTACATGCTTTATCCTAGGCACCTTTTAAGTTCTGGATATACAGTCCCTAGTCTCTCAGTGCTTACAATTTAAGTGTAGTCTTAGTCATTTGTATACAAATGTCTTCAGTCATTGTCCCTTTAATACGATTTCTGAACCCTCACTAAGCAAGTTACCTTCTGAAATCAGATGTGGAACTGGAACCTGACCAAGCTGCCTCTGGTGGATGTAGATCTCCAATTGGATACAAAGTTAAGACCTCAGAGAGAAAAGTAAAAAGCCAAAGACTAAACATTGTTGAAGGTGGGAATAGAAAGGGGACATGTCAGGGGCCCATGGGTGGCTCAGTCGGTTAAGCTTCCTACTCTTGGTTTCAGTTCAGGGTTTTGTGGGTTCGAGCCCCGTGTTGGGCTCTGCGCTGGCTGTGCAGAATCTGCCTGGGATTCTCTCTCCCGCTTTCTCTGCCCCTTCCCCACTTGGGCTGTCTCTGTCTCTTTCAAAATAAATAAGCACTTTAAAAAAAAGGGGGAGGGCGGGGGGACATGTAAAAAAAAAAAAAGTAGAAGGCACTTCTAGAGATAAGAGGAAATCCTGGAATATTTTGTGTTAGTAGAATAAAGGGAGAAGAGATTTCAAGAAGGAAATGGCGTGGAGCTTGAACCCATGAACTGTGAGATCATGACCTGAGCCAAAACCAAGAGTTGGGCGCTTAACCTACTGAACCACCCAGGTGCCCCTAGAATGCAATTCAAAAGTAGAGTTTCCTACTTGGGGCGCCTGGGTGGCTTCTGATACCAGCTCAGGTCATGCATGATCTAGCAGTTGTGAGATCAAGCCCTGCATTGGACGCCATGCTGAGTGTGAAGCTTGCTTAGGATTCTCTTTCTCCCTCTCTCTGCTCCCCCCACTCCCCCTGCCCAAAGTTAAATAAATAAACTTTTAAAGAAATTGTCCTTTAAAAGAAATAAAAACAGGGTTTCCTACTGAATAAAGTATATTGAGATCATGTCTAGTTTTGAAACGTAAGGAGATACTAGAATTGCGTAAACATTGTTAAATTTCTATTTTTCAAAAAACTTGCATTGTGAACTGGTCTATTTAATTTACTAATTCTTGATTCCTTTCTCCCATCTTAAATGCTTGTGTTTATTTGATGTTTTTAAATTTTTTTTTAACGTTTATTTATTTTTGAGAGAGAGAGAGACAGAGTGAGAGCGGGAAGGGGCAGAGAGAGAGGGAGACACAATCTGAAGCAGGCTCCAGGCTCCGAGCTGTCATCACAGAGCCTGATAGGGGGCTTGAACTCAAGAACCACAAGA